AAAAGCAGAGATTTAAAAAAATGGGAATCCATAGTGTTAAAAACATTCTGACCTGCTGTGGTATTTGAGTTACTTGCAACAGAATTGCTCTATTATTTTTTAGCCAAAAAGCAAGTGAAAACTAAGAAAGAGCTGGGATTTTCTGAGAGGTGCCTTGACTCTAAAAATGTTGAGAACCACTGCAACAGACATTTGATGGGTAGAAAGCCACACTTTCATCCAATCGCCTCAAACTTGCAAAATATTCATCCACATAATGTTCCAGTGAGGTAGATGCACATTATTCCTAATTGTACAAGGAAAAAAAAAAGACATTAAATTGTCCATGGTACATACAGTGATGAAAGGTTTGCCTACATGGGAAATTTACTGACAAAACTGTAAGATCAAGACTCCTTGAGTGGACACTCCCACTCCTTGTAACAATCAAAGCCCAATAACTGGCACAGACCTCAATATGTCCCCCTCTGTCTTTCTGAGAGGATTAAAGCTGTGGTTTTAGATACTCTATATGCATCAAGCCGATTTAAACCCTAAGGCTGCTTGCAAATGTTAAAAAGCTGTGCTTTACAGAAACCAGCAGCGGGTTACTTCAACCTGGCTCTGCAGCATCTGTAAAAATTGGGCACTTCAGTGGGGCTTTTTGGCACTTTTAGTGAAAGGTGATTCAATCAGCTATTAGGATAAAAGCACCAAAAAAGCCACACAAAATCACCTGATCTTTCTAGCCGTCAGTCAGGCAAGCAAGCCAGGTTAAAGCAAAGCAGGAATGCATGGGGCTTGACATGGGAACATGCAGAGTTTAAAGTGCCTTTTTGGTTTTATTTTCTTTTAAATGTCTGCTAGCATCCTAAAACATGCCCTGCAGGCATAACGAAGTCTCTTTATCAAAATTTAGGTTTTAAATTTACAGAATGTTTGCAGTTCAGTGGTTTGAGAAGATGACTTCTGTCAGTCACTGTTACCCATATTTGTTTGTTCAAGTATCCTCAGTCTCCTCCAGTAGCTAATTTACAGGACAAGAAATCATCACAACCTCGTTAAGGTACCATGCACTGTTCCATAGGACAAATACAACAATATTTCTACCAAACTAAGTGGATCACTGCATATTCTTGAGCTTGGTGTTCCATACATTCACCTCAGCACAATTTAAGGTAACGGTACAAAACTTAGTAAAGCTTGAAGCCTCTTTTCTAAAGGCTGACATTATAATCTAATCTCCAGTCTCACTTTATAGCACCAGTCTTAAATATGCTTTAGTACTTTTTTCACCTTGTATTCCATGAGAGGATCTATTGAAATGGAAGTCCATTTTGATTCAGTCATGACATAAGACAGAGAGCCAAGTAAGATTTTATTTACTACTCATCAGGTTAGGAGGAATACAGGTTAAAAGCAGTGGTGTTTAACCTTCAGCCCACAGAGCTGTTATCTGGCCAATGGAGCTCCCCACAGGTTCCAAAATTTGATGGTGGGTGCCACAGCTTCTAGAGCAGCAGCAATTAACACTGCTACCACTTTCCAATCACAACATTTTGGACCAGTGAGGCAATCTGTAGGCTGAATGACATGTGTGTAGGGTTCTTGCGTGGCCAGATCCAGTGCATAGGGCCAGAGTAGCATGCTGGATCACCCCTGTGGGCTAACCCCATGCGCTCGATCAAGCCTGCAGACTGTGCCTGGGCCACTCTTCCCATCTGCAGCACCAAATGTTTAAGCATCGAGTGAAAAAGTGTTTTAAGTTTGTAATAATGACTGCCTCTTACATAAAGAAAAACGGTAAACTGTTAATCTTATATCTAGAACAGTCTTTTAGCTAGCTACAATTCTGAAATATGGGGGAAATGGAACTGCAAAGCCTTAGGTCAGTGTAGACTTTCCTCTTGTAAAGATAAAGTAAAATACAAGTCCTCCAAAAAAATCCAGCAAATCACAAGCTGCCCTGAAATTATTATTATTATTTTTGAAGATCAGCTTGTTTTCCACTGGAATTGCAAACCAATACTTGATTACTATTCATATAATATGATACTTATTGTTTTACTTCAAAACTTGTTTGTGTTTTGTTTGAACAAATTACAAAAAGAAGCAGGATAACAAAGTGAGTAACCTCAGCACTCTTATTACAGTTGCTTAGTGTGTTGAGTAGAATTGCCCTTTTCCGCTGTTTTAAAGACCCCAAAACAATACATTTTATAATGCTTCCAACTCTAGTGGAAACATGCCCTTTTCAAAATGCTAACAACATTCAGTGCTTCAGGCATGGTTCTTTTCATCCTTCTCCTACTAACATCCAAACTACTCTGAATTATACAGTAATGGTTCTCAACTAGCAGGAGACAAGAGTACAGCGTCTAATTACAGTTTAGTTGATTTTTTACTAAACCCAGGTGCGCACAGTCTTAAACAGAGTCTTGCTTTATGCTTACCAGAACTATGGGGCGAAACAGCATCTTTAATATTAAGATCTGCTGTTGTAAAGCATTACTCTCATAGGACATTGCCTTTGAAATGTACGCAATTAGTTCTACATAGCTAAACTTATTGATCAGAATAACAAAGATTCAGGTTTCCTAAAGCAGTGTCAGTATATACATCCAAGTATACTGATCAAGGAAAAAAACCCAACCCCCCCCTCATTCCTTTGGCATCCTTTCATCTACGGGAGATGGTGGATATTGCAGGCTATGATATAACCATAAAAAAAAAGTAAAAAGCAGTTGAATTAATGTTGCAGGAGGAATTAAAACAGAATTCCCCAATTTTAAAAAATTGTAATATTATGAACCTAGCTCATTATTAGCTAGAAATTAGGCATAACTAAAAGAAAAAAAACATGTACAAGTATGCTTCTGGTAGGTACCACCAAGCTGACCCTCTAGGGCTAGGTGCAGACATTCAAAGACCCCAAGACGGAACTGATCCAAGAATTATGTCGTTTTCTGTAAGTGGCATAGTTTAGATCAGTAGCAAACAACGCACATTCGCCCTTTGGTGAAGGGTGCAAATCTCAGACCAGGTTCTGTCATTTTTAAACTAGCGTGCACACACTGAACTTCTGTTCTGTTATGGGTATAGATTTGTTTCCAAATACTTGTACCTGTAAAAGTGTAGTGTCTAGGAAGCATACACTTTACTTGCAATAATGTATGTGTACAGTATTCAATAAAGACACCAACACGGTGCTTACAAAAACTGCATAAATAGCCCCATGAAAGCATAGATTACATAGACATTAGGGCTGGAAGGGACCTCGGAAGATCATCGAGTCCAGCCCCCTGCCCAAAGGGCAGTTGGGGTCAAAGCAGGTGGGGGCAGACGCTGTACTTCCCCTGCTGGAATAAAAACAGTCTGTGAATTTTCTACTAGTCAAAGGCAAGCTAACAAAGTGACAAGGGGACCTGCTTCCAGGTCAATAAAGCTATCCAGCAGCCTCAAGTTAGGTATCCAAAGGCCTGTTACATAGTTAAAAGGTACATTTCTCAACAATACTAGTTTGACCGATATTAATCCTCTTGGACGTGACTGAAAAACAGGACAAAACAGCATGGAACATATTTTCTCCTCCCCAAGAAATCCCTGTTACTTCCTGTTATGTGTAAAAAATTGTCTTAAAAACAAAGTCAGTGTGCATCCCAAACTCAAGACCAAAAGAAAGTATTGAACTATATACCTGATTGAATCAGGATATTATCAGATGAAATAATATAGATTGATATTAAGCCTGAAGGCCTAAGCCTTTTTTAGAAGAATAAGAGGCTCTTCCCCAATTGTTAAATCTAGGAACTACACAACAGATAATACATCTGATCAAGCCATTTCCAGAGGTGAACTTTGCTAAATCAGTTTAGTTTTCCAAACCAAGCCAGATAGAGGCCTTAACAAAGTCTACTTTACATGACAAGTTTCTAAAGCTTAAACTGGCCCTATTTGAGACTCCACTCACATTTCATTGGTTTTAAATGGGGAAAACAGTGCCCAATCTCACAGATCAGGTGCAAACCAAGTAAATATAAAGCTTTTCTCACTTTCCATTACTTTGAGATCCCCTGTCCTAAGAAGTTCTTAAAGTCCGTGATACCGCAACCCCCCATGATGAAAGCCAGTGAAATCCACCGCCTGGGGATCCCGCTCGCCCCGGAGGAACCGCTTGCGCCTGAGTGGGACACAGCGGGGAGTGGCCAGATGAGAAACCAGTGGCGCGGAGCGGTGGCTGGGGAGGGAAGGAAGTTTGCGACCCTCTTTTAAGTTGATTACGACCCCTGGGGGGGTCATGACCCACAGTGTGAGAACCCGCGTCTTAAAATAAAATCCAAAGCAGAAACGCAACACATTTCAGCAACCTCAACCACAGTGCTCGCTCGCTACCAAGCAAACCCATTCATCGCTCCGCCTGCAGTGTCCGGGATGCCCCCTTGCCCCTTAGTAAAACCCCTAATGAATGCTATCCTGCAGCACAGACTTCACCACCCAAGTACCGCAGACTCCACGAAATCTGGGGGGGCTGCGCTGCCCTGACTGACTTCACAGCACAGTCCTCGGGCTGCGGTGGCCGCGACAGGACGTCTTCCCAGGGCCAGGTTAGCCCGTAAGGCGGCCCCCGCGCGCCTCTGCCTACGGGAAGGAAACGTGACAACCATGTGCGAAGGGCATCCGCTGCCCTCCCGCGAAACAGCGACCATAATTGTGGGCATGGGCGATGGATGTTGGGGCAAGGGCCGGAAGAAGATGTGGCCTCTCCCAGAGCCCCGACCCCACGGGCAAGGCAAGGCAAGGCAAGGTAGGGCAGGGCCCCCCCACATCCACCGAGAAGCTCCCCCCCAGCAAAGCCCCGTGCAAGGTGGCGGAAGGTGGGGGGTAAAAACGCAGCCCCCACTCCAGAGAACCCCCCTGTGCAATGCGGCCCCAGCCGGGCAGAGGGAGGGGAGCCGCAGGCCCGGGCGCGCGGATGAGGCAAGGCCGGGCCGGGCCGGGCCGGGCCCGTCAGTCGCACTCACGCTCTCGTGGTCCCACCGCACGTTGCTGCGCTTCTCGTCCGGGGCCAGGTTTCGGTCCCGGCCCATGAGCTCGTCCAGGAGCTGCGCGGCCGAGATCATGGTGTCCGCCTGCCCGAGGCCCCCGCGCCGGCCGCCGCTTCCTTCCTTCCTTCCTTCTCCCAGCCCTCCCCGCCCGCACTGCCCGCCCGCCCGCGAGTGACAGAGACAAAATGGCGGCGGCCGGAGGCCTTCCCACAGTGCCCTGCGCCTCCCGCTCAGGCCTGTCGGCGCGCGGAGCCAGCACGAGCGCGCCCGAGGGGTGGGGGGGGGGGCGACCCGGCGCGGTTGTGACGCGGCCTGGGCGAGGGGCGCGTGGGGGCCGGACAGGCTTCGTTTTGATGACCCGTAAGCAAATTTTGCAGACTTTCGTTGCCAATGTTTTGCCTTTGCAGACTTTTGGGTTTTTTCCAGACGTCTGCTGCAAAATGTTGGGACCCCCTGAAGTGTGGGACCCTGTGTGGTCACCTGGTTTGCCGTCCCCTATGGCCGCCGCTGCTTTTAAAGAAGAGCAAGGCCTTGGGTTCATCGCTGCTCACTTGCTCTGTAGGGAGTAGCCATCCCCGTGCATACGGGGGGTAGGACAAGGAGTGACAACTTTGGGTATCCTACCATCTTCCTCCACGAAGCCTGTGACTCCTTGGCCTAGCCCCATACACACGGCGATGGCCACTGGCTTCAGAGCAAGTGGGTGGTGATGGA